ATGAGCCACAGTCTAAACTCAAAGCATTCCCCTTAATATCGCCCTAGTAGTGCCCTATATAATCCCCTATATAGCCCCCTTTTACGGAGTGCAGACCCTAAACCCTATGTAATCCCCTAGCAATATAACTTTAGGCTGAGGAGTGTAGACCCTAAACCCTAAACCCTATATAATCCCCTATATAACCCCTTTAGAAAGTTTAGACTATAGCCTACCTAAACCCTAAACCCTATAGCTTTGTATGTAAAACTTAGAGCCGGGAGGCTGCAAAAAGAACTTGTGGTTTGCGTAGCCCACAGTATTGTTCAGCCAGGGGCAGTAGTGATCCATTCGTAGAATGCACCTCGGGGGCTTAGGGGCTATATACGGTTTAGGTTGGGTACTGCCCCCCCTCAGTAACAGTTGGTTAATAATTCTAATATGGTTATATGTAGCCCTTAATAGGACCCCTAATATGTACTGTTACTGCGGGGGGGGCGGGGGGCAGTACCCAAGGTTTAGGGTTTAGCTTAGGTTTTATGATTTGGGGGTTTCCCAAAATTAGGGGTACCTCTCTGGTGGGTCCCGATAGTAAGGACTATAGTATAATCGGATCTATGTTGGGGCCCCCTCATTTAGGGAAACTACAATTCAGGGTTGAGGGTTAAGGCTTCAGGTCGTGAGACTCGGAGTTTCGGGTTCAGTTTAGGATGTATACCCTAAACCCTAAGCCCTAAACCCATAAGGTTTATAAGAATTAGGGCAGTGCTCAGGATCTCAGGTTGTTGGCTTAGGGCTTTAGGGTTTGGGGTTTGGGGTTTTTAAGACTTCTTGGAGAGGTCTGGCCTTGACGTTTAGGGTTTAGACTTTCGGGTAGCTCCCTCTCGTGGTTAGTTTGGAGATCGAAGAGCAAGCTTACAGTATGCATTTATGTGAGTTCGTATACATGTGTATATACTGGTATATATATACACACACATATTTGGCGGTTGTTGCCTTAAGGTAGGGGTACTTTGATGTACTGAGATTTACATACTACCAGGCAGTCATCAGCGCAGCGGCTCGAGGACTAGACCGGAATGGTTGGCTAATATCTGCTTCATCCATTCCCTACTTTGTGGGGCCCTGGGGTTATTACTGGGTTCGGCAACCTACTTGTGCGGGGTTACTATAAGGTTGTACGGGGGGTAAGTGCATATCATCTAACTCCAGGCTGCCTCAAAGTACTAGACCCTAAACCCTAATCCCTACTCCCCCCCTGCCTTGCAAGGTTCCCCCTTAGATCGTAAGAGTTCGCCATAATTTTCCCTGAATGTTCTTGAATGGAAGGGGGAATCTTACCGGGGGTCTTACAGGGGGATGGTAGGGGAAACCATGAATGCAACACCCTATAAAGCCCACACCCTGGACTCTAAACGTTAAACCGTGCTGGGTGTGTACGGCTGACGGTGATGTCTACATTCCAGGCCGTAGTACACGGCTTCACGATCGGGTTGGGGTGTTGGGGCCCAAGTAACCCCCTCGCCGTTTCCACTAGACATCTCGGCAGAGGCAGCAGCTCACTTGCTGTGACTCGCAACAATGGAAGCTGCTGTCTCATCATGGCCCACATCTCCAGTGTCCTCGAGCTGGACCCCATCATTCTGCAGCGGGTGCGCTCCGAACACACGGCTGTGTATCCTGCGGGGGAGTCGTGCAGGAATTCGCGAACTGCCGCGGACGGGGTTGTCCACACGTCGGAGTTGGCTTCGCGAACCAGGGCTGTGCGTCTGTACTGCCATGGGGGGTACTGTTGTCCCCCATCCCGCTCCATGCTTCGTACAGAACAAGCGGAGAGCCTGACCATCTCGCTCACCCAAATCTTGACCTGTGAAAAGACACTGATGCTGACCACAACTTGGATCATGAAGCCCGAACTCGGGGCACAAGTTGCAGCAGTGGGAAGAAAGCCCAAAAGCCACGCCGGTGCATCCCTGAGTGTTTTCCCGATATTCAGCTTTAATAAGGAGCCCCCAAATACAAAGGGAAAAAGGGCACTACCAGGGTACCTAGCCCTAAGCCGTGTAGGCCTGTAGTACAGGGCTTCTGGAACTGCAAGGTGTCGGGCTTCCGCTTAGCCGATCATGGTCCAAAAGATTTTGGTATTGGGTTTGGGGCTTTGGGGGTCGGGCATAGAATGTTGCGATTCTAAGGCTAGTTGATGCCATCATGCCCAGAAACCTCGAGAATTCGAGGGTAAGGGGTGGGGCGGGGCAGCATCCGCAAACCTCAACCCTTCGGCTCGGAATGCTTGCAAAAAGCTCCAGACCCTCATAAAAACCCTGAACCCTGAACCTTGAAACCTAAACCCTATAGACCTTCATCCCCAACCCATACGCCCTAATCCCTGAACTTAGCCCCTATTCGCCTGAGAAGACAGAGAGGCATGCCTTTTGGTACTTTGTCGATGTTAAAGATACCGCTACTTCCACAACAATGCACACCATCCTCAACATGGATCCATGGACTCTCACTGCTCTAAATCCTCTTTACGAAGCCAAACTCAAGATCCTCAACCATAAATCCCTTCACCAAACCCTATAGTCCCCCTTAAGTAGATAGAATACTGGGTATATGGGGATGTACCCCATATTCTATCTACTTAAGGGGACGATACCTAAACTCTAAATAATAGTTTTCATTTGCTTTTCCGTTATCCCTGTAGGACCCCCCATATTCTAAACCATAAGCCCTAAACCGGGCCCTCGGCACCTCTCCGTCGCACTGCAGTAATGCGAGCGATCAGGTTTGTAAGCATCCGACTTTCTGCACCAACGAGCCTGCTGTTCTTGGGGGGCTTCAGCCTTCAGAAGCCAGGAATAGGATTCAGGGTTCAGGGTTTAAGGGTTCAGGGTTTATAGGGCTTAGCTGGAAGGTCCGAAACCAGAGTTTGTGGCTTGCTCTGCTATGGCTATGCAGCATGGGCATTACCAAAGACGATCCGAGTGATTGGCTTCTAGGCTACTAGAGCCCTCAATCCTAAACCCAAGATAGAGGGATTTCGATGGCTTTGGAAACCTTAACCTGGACTGCTAAGTTTCCATAATATGATGGGTATTATAATAAGTACTAAGGTTTCCTCATCAGAGTCATCTATAATGTAGGCTCCTTAACAGCAACCCAACAACTTTCTGGGTGTAGGGCGCGGGACAGCTTAGGATTTGGAAGTGTGGTTTACGGGTCTGCGCAGCTGATCATGCCAGAGCCCTATGCACATAAGCTATATAGCCTAGACTCCTAGTATCCCCCCTCATAAGACCTATAATGCTCCCCTTGATAATCCCCTGTATGTAACCCATCTTTAGGTACTTTAGACCCTAAGCCCGAAACCCTAATCCCCTATATAATCCGCTTTCAGGAGTTTAGACTGTAGCTCACATAGCGGATCTGCATTTGCCCGACTCTGCATCCATCTAACCCAATCGCCACTCCTCTTCCCCACCTTGATAATCCCTTCCCCCTAATATCAAAACCCCCTAGTATTAAATGATAAATTCAGGTGCCTAAAAACCCACCCGAAGACTACTTCTAAAAGGGGAAGACTATTTTTTTTCCCCACTTTGATACCCAAAATGATGAACAGGAGTCTTGCGTGTCAGAAGTATCGGTATCAAGTTCTCCCTCAACGTGTGTGTGTCTCATTTCCCGCCCATCAACCTTGAGCACATGCATTTTCAGTGAGAGCGACGGTCCCAAACCCTTAATCATAAAACTACTTTGTCAACCTGATTCTTTCTCTCCGTAATGGGCAACAAACCACAACCACTCCAAATGCCGCAAAATCCCGAGACCCGCTTTCCCTATGAAGCTTTTTACAATCCCTGAGGGTCCATGTATACAAAGAATGCCTACATTTGACCCTAAAGTCTGTGAATACTACCTGCATGGGGATATTTGGATTCCTGGGGAATCTCGAAGTTGGGGGCTAATCTTTGTGACGGGTGCATATTTTGCATGAAACGGCGCCTCTCCAGAACGTTTTCGGTCCTTCAGTACAGAACCCATTTCGGGCTCAGGGTGCAGTGTATATTTCCACAGGGTTTAGGGGTGGGTGTTCCTACGATATAGGCTATAGGTGGACTGAGGGTATATGGTGCAATACATGGCTTACGGTTTAAGTTGGGGGTCATGCTGGTAAGGCTTGAAGGCTTGTTCGGACTTTGGATACTTGTCCAATGTGACATCCTCCTATGGTCTCTATCCTCGCGTCAAGGAACTGATCTCTGTAAGACCCCGCAGAACGGACAGCGCCATTACATTGAGAAACATCAGGGGGATGATAACCCAACACCTGAATACCCCCCACCCCACCGAATCCGCTTATACTACACTTGGGGAGGGTCGGTAGTGAGAAGCAGGGTCTCAATTAAGGACAACTATAGCCGTATCTTCTTACCTGGAACTTCCTTCGACTAATAATTCTTGGTTGTTTCGGTTGTTGACAACTTTTATGTTGATTGTAGCTGTTTCGGTCTCTTCGACCAAAAGAACTTGTTTTCATGGATTCGACTACTTTTTCTGCTTCCGGCAGGCTGTGGGCTAAAGGTGTTGGTCTATGCTTGGGTGCATGCCCATAAGCTCTTTAACATCATATTCCATACGCAAGAGGGCCCCTAGATGTCCGACCCTTCAAATTTGTACATACCCCCGCACATCCACCATCTTTGTCACACATCCCATACACCCGACCATCCATCGCATCATGGTGATTCGGCGATCTCTGCAAAGATGATGTTCGTGCCTCCAGGGGCAGGCACGCCCTCCCCCGCTCATTTCTTGCTTATGAGAGCGTTCAATGTCCAGAGTTGCTCATGTGACAGTACAACACATATGCATGGGCTTCTCTGCGGCTCAATTGGAGATCGCCGCCTAGGGATCTTGGGGATGATCTGAGGCAGTTGAATTGCATGCGCTACATTATGTCCGATATTGCTTCCCATTGCTAGGGAGAAGTTTGCATAGATTGGCTTGACCTAGCTGCTATGACGACTATGCTGGCACAACAATGGGAGTCGCAGCCGGAGCTGCGACGCCTTGCACAGAAACTTCAGCTAGCTTCTTGTCTTAAAAAACAACACTGGTGTTGCTGAAGCATGCTCTGCCATCCCATTAGGTTCAACTTACGGGGCCGAACATCAACAGAGATGTGCTGGTGCAAAATGAGCTGGTGCTTACACCAGCTCTTCAACAGTTGGGGATGCGGCCAAGCGTGCAGACAGCGATGGTCCATGTGAAGTCGCTCTATGATTTAATGGGCCTGGATGTCAATGGAGCCTGATTTGCAAGTCGAGACCACTTCTATCTATAGAGACCACTTGTGTCTAGAATTCTTGATTCCCTGCCCCATGTGTGCATATGCCTTGAGGCGCTCTGATTTACACCCAGGGCTGGGCCTTGCGCCGCATGGTCAGCCTGTTCAATGGCATAGTCCGTCGGGGACACACTCCTCGCGAGCCCGCAGTGCAAAGGATGATGGTTGCAGTTGGGTTGACCATTGAACAGCATGGCTCAGAGGGCACTTCAGACAATGATTCGATGTCAGATGAATGTGAAAGTATGGAGTCTGAAGCCCCAACGGATGATGGGGAAGTAGTCGATGGTGATGATGATGTTCACGATGTGGAAATGAGCCGCTAGGTCAAATGGAGTCAGGTTTCAAAATAGTACGGTTACCATGGGGTTCGTATTCCATTTTGGGATATATTTCAATTATACCGGCCGGGTTCTATTGGGATCCCACTACATAGAAGCTACTGTTATTGAGCACAATGCGAGCTTCCCAAGGGCAGGGGTACCATTTGGGGTTCCAATTACACTGCTGGTTTTGGGTTCTATAGGGGTCCCCCTATTTATTACATGCATGGTCACGATGGCCTCGATCTACCTAAGTAAATGTAAGGAACCCCAGAAACAGGGGCGCCCATTTGTGGTTCCAACTACAGGGCTTTGAGTTCTATATTGGGGTCGCCCTATGACTGCATGCATTCAAGCCTACATGTGGAACTGCGTGAGCCATTAATGTCCCGAAAGTGGAGGTACCATTTTGGGGTTCCAGTTCTACCGTGTTTTGGGTTCTACTGGGGTCCCACTATTTATGGATATGAGCGCAATGTGGACATACATGGGCTGCCAATCCAGCACACGGTTTCCAAATTTGGGGTTCTATTGGGGTCCCACCATTAATGGCTATAAGTTAACTATCAGATGCAGAAATGCATGCGAGCTACCAATCCAAATCATAGTTTCCACAAGGATGGGTTTCATTTTGGGGTTCCAACTATAGGATTTTGGGTTCTATATTGGGGTCCCCATGCATGAACAACCGGAGTTGATCAGGAAATGCATGAACCACTAACCAAAATTAAGGTCCCAAAAGTAGAGCTACCATTTTGGGTTCCAATCATGGGGCTTTAGGTTCTATTTTGGGGTTCCACTTCATATGGGCCCGGCTTTTTATTTTTTATTCGGAACCTTTCAACATGCTGCTAATTATCCCAACTCTACCTCCAAGCTGCTAACTGTAAGGTGAACCTTTGGAGAAGGTCGTGCTTGAGAAGACTGCAAAGGAGGCCAACTTCAGCTCTGCACATTGCCCTATCTGCTCGGCTGAGCTTGCATGAGTACGTCAGATTTTGTAGGTGCTGCCCCCTACGACTGCCCCTACGACTGCCATGAAGCTGACAAAGCCAGTGCTGGAAGGCTAGCTCGTTTGATTGCACGCGTGTTTATAAGTTCTAGCTGCATGAGTACAACTCTGAAAGGAGACCTTGCGTTGGAACGACCAACGCCTTCCACGACGGCCCCCAACACCCCATCTTCAAGCGTACCGACTACTCCGGTTTCCATGGTTCCTGCAGGTATGGCTCAGGCCTCTTGCCGAACAGCAATAAAGTATGTGTTGCATTGGAAGTACGAAATGTATGTGACACTTGGATTCTCGTGCGAGTGCTAAGGCTACGGGAATGGAACTACTTCGTCAGCTCAACAAAGTTGCTGAGCTCCTTGCTCTGCAGAAGAAAATGAAGGAGCTGGAGAAGCTTAAAGCCAAAAATCCTATTCCAGTGTACACTGGCTGCCCCTCAGCTTAATCACGCATTCTAGGTTTTTTGTTGAGGGCCTAACAACCCTACCCACCTGCTGCTTGGCCAGGCCTGGACAATGTGGATACGGTCCCCATGGACCTCGACTCTGATGTCGTCTCTGGTCCTGCAATGAGCACGGCAAAGGATATGCAGCCACAAGTTCATGCGGAAAGCAAGAAGGCCAGAGCGGCCTCGCCTGCTTGTGATGAGGAAGATGAGGACTCCAATGAGGATGAGCAGGAAGATTGGGAGGAGCCAATTCCGGCAAAGAAGGGCAAGCGCAAGGCAGTTGCCAAGGCCGCCCCAAAGAAGAGGGCTAGGACGGTCAAGGATGAGCCCAGACGTTCTGGCTCTGCCAAAGCAAAGGCCTTGCCCAAGACAAAGCCCATCGCAAAGGGCAAAGCAAAGGCAAAGGCAAAGGTGAAACCGGCGGCTAAGTCCAAAGGGTACCGTGCGCCCTGTCTTGATGAGGATGGCTACAAGGCCAAGATGTCGCGAAAAAGTGGAGCTTACCACAAAGCCCTGAAGTTGGCAAAGAGCCAGGGACATGATGATGAGACATGCAAACTGATGGCTCGGGAAGCAACTAGGTAGCATAAAGACACCAAAATCCCCACTCAGAGAATGTCTAGCTGCTTGCTGTTATCCGAGGCATACAAGAACACGTCCTGAAACTCGTTTCAGCTCGCGGTGATTGCTTGAGCGGGAAGTTGTGCGCTGCAGCTGCTTGTCCCGGTAGATATCAATAATCCAGACTGACCATCGCTTGATTGACTGGCAGCTGCATTTTGGCGTGTCTTTTGGTCTTGCATGCACGGCATGCATTTATCCTTTGTGCTCACAGACACAAGGGCCCATCAAATTTCAAATCAGTGAAGCCTGGGCGTGTGCATGCCTAGAACGAAGTTGGTGACCGGGGGCGCCAGCGATCGAAGTATGGTCCATATGCTTGCAAATCAGCTCCCAGCTAGTGTTGTTTGTTGTTTGTTGATTCTATGTTTGTCCCTTCGCAGGTGGCCTCACCTTTGAGCCGTGGGCAGCGAGAGCTGCTTCTGGAAGTCTGGCTGGCCATTTTATTGCTGATTGGTGTTGGCTTCTCTTAATTTGCGGGATTATTCCTCAAAAGGATCGGCCCTAATCGTGAGGCACTTGACGGGTCTAGGCGGGTTATCTGTTGGTTCTTGGAAGCACTGCCTGCCCTCTTCCTTCAGGCGCAGCTAGGGGAACAACTGCCAATACAAAATCATGGAGCCAATCATGAAGCCACTACCCTAGAACATCCTTGATTACAACGTGCCTCATACATCCCTTGCAGACCCCAGCTAGCCGAATTTTCTAGCCCAAGCTGTGCCACGCTGCTAGCCTGCAGGCCAGGTATTCCTTCATATCCACAAGCCGTATAGAGTAGACCCACCCATTCAAAGCTTTAAATTTGTACAGGAATGGCAACGATCGAGAACATCGTCTTGGGACTTCTGCAGGTTCGAGCTCCCAAGGCTTGCGCCAGGGCTTTAAAGGTATGGTCGGGTAATAGGATCTTGGGTTTAGGGTTTGGGGATTTGGGGTTTAGGGTTTAGGGCGTGGGGGGCAGGAGTCAGGGGTAGCATAGCTGTAGGCTTTACGAGGTCTACTCTAGCCCTTCAAGTCGTAGCCAGCAAGTTAGCACAAGAAGCCCTTCCATTCTACAAGTACCTGCTGCCTGAATTTGCGCGCAGGTCTTTATTGCCTGTGTGCCTGGGATTCATTCATTGCATAATTGCAAGTTCTTGTTGGGCCTTTGCATCCTTGTGGGTGTATCTGAGGTTCTTCTGCTGCTGTGGTCTTCCCCCGTAAGCCCACGTTTCGAGGTGATAGACCTATTTTCAGGAGTTGGGGCTGTTGCTGCCCGATACCGAGCAAGCGGTCGTCCTGCCGCTGAATATGATTTCATACACCATGAAAACGCGATGAATTTTCTGTCCTGTGGCGGCTACGCGTGACTTTGCTTCAAAGAGTACCAGCTCCAAGCCCTCGATTTTACACGTGCTCAGAATGTCCTGACCCTGAACTCATGCCCCAACACCCTACGCTTTGAGGCTAGCCATCTGGTCCGTGTTATGCCTTTGTCCAGAAGGCCTACTCATGTGTGGTCCTGATTGCGGCAGCTGGACCGTGGTTTCTCGCGGATCATCTGGCCGGACAATTGTCAATCCGGGAGGATATCATGGGAATGCATGGGTGTCTGAGAACAATCTTACTGTCAGCCGGTGGCTAGGTTTTGCTACGCGATTGTATACCAGCGCAGGCTACAAGGACCCAGCTAGCTAATACCCCAATATATTAATATGGCTACACCTATCGGATTTGGGTTCAGGTGGCCAGCGCTGGTAAACAGATTTCAGATTGGGGGTTGTGCTTTTGAGGGTTCCATGTACATTGACCTGAGGTTGACTTTGTTATTGATGCTCTGTACAGCAATCCATGGTATATTCGTGGTAGAGCAGCCGATATCCTCGGAGCACGTGTTTGCTCGACATTTTCGTTTCGAGCACTTCTGCAACCGCGTCTGCTGGGCAGCTTGTTTACTCAAAGTCAAGCAAAGTAGAAGTCAGCTGAAATAAGCTCATGCGGATGTATCTGGCAGGTATGGAAAATGAGATTTTGGATGATGCACTGGGGGGCAAAATGCCCGAAACCTTCTCTTGTCTGGTCGTGTGACTACGACCTGGTTGCTGGGTTGGATGCTTGCTGTAGTTGGTACTGTAAATCGGGTACTGCTCCCACTAACTAGTTGTCGAGCTATATTCTGGGCCCATGCATATATTATTTATATATATATATATTATATTTATGGGGTGGGGGCAGTACCCAACCTAAAAAGCCTTGATTGCCCAAACCTTGTTGTATTTGCCTGCAAATTACAGCTTTTACCCTACACCTTGGCACTCCTGAGGCAACCCCTGTCCTGTCGAAGCATGCCCGAATCTCGAAAACACAAATCAAGACCGTACGTTCTTTGGCTTTATTCAGCGCATGCTACTTGAAGGGGAAGGGAACTTAGCTTAAAGATAATATATATGTATATAATATATTATGGCCTTCTAGCTATAGCGTAAAAAGTCCCTACCTCTCCAAGTAGCCTAGCTAAGTGTTTAGGGTTTAGGGTTTGGTGCTTAAGGCCTCAAGGTTCTGATCCCCCAACCTGAACTCCAACCATAATCTGTTTGCCTGCAGGCAAATATCAGGACAAGGATGGCAAACGTCGGTTCCAAGGCACCCCGGAGCTCAAAACAACTTCGAGCCTTAACTGGAATTGGCAGCTAGGTCTGTGGATCTAGAGTGCTTGTGATAGATGCTCAAGCCATAGCCAAGGGCATATCCAGGCGGCTTTGCTGATCGCCTGTTTCAACTGCATCAGAAGTTTGGGTCCAACCCACGGCAAGTCTTAAGGCAGAAGCTGCCTTTGAGTACCAAGATGAGTGACCGTGAACTTTTTCAGGCCCTTCCATTGCAGGATCCTTGGACAGATGCTAAATTACCCACGTTGTTCCTGTACCTGCTGGAGAACCGCAATCT